CTGGAGAATTTTGAAACAAAGAATGTCATCTCGCCCCACCGTGCGTCGGCCGGCGCAATCGTAAAGTTCATCACTGCCGTGACGCTCGCGCGGGATCAAACACTCATGCATCAACGGTGCTCCGTGTTGCGGCAGTGGTATTTTTGAGAAGATTGAACGCTTTGCAACGTACTGCCGCTGTTAACGTGTATTTAATTAGCGAGCGCTGTTATCTCCCGCGCGGACGCTCGTGATTTTACGATTTAATCGGGCATTTCGCATAATGCGTCGATTAAGCAGACACGCCTAAATAATACGCCTAAATAACGCGATAATTTGATTATAATTGGGCGCGCATGTCGGCGCGCGATTGACGTAATCGAGGCGATTTCAACGTCCGCGCGCTTCGATCCCGTCGGCGGGCGTAAAAGAACGTCTTGCGTAAGAGAACTTTTGATCCCCGCCGCTTGAGAAAGAGATGCCGCGTAACTTTGACACGTGAACGATCTGTTTAATGCACATCCGCGCGGATCGTTACGAAAATGGCTGTTTCCACCTTGCATAATTACGACGGAAACGATGTCTGCATTGTTACAAACTCGCGCATTCTGCGAATGGCATGTTGAGAGACGTGTAAATTTTACACGTCGCGCGCGCGCTCGCGCGAGCACGCTCGGTGCGCTTCGTCATCTCGTGTGATAATACGCTTATTCGCGGGGTTGTGAGCCGCGTTAATGCTTTACTTACTTCATAATTGCCCCGCGCCAATTTTTCCTCCCCCTCCCCCTCCCCCCCTAATTATGTGTGTTTCAGCTCTGTACACACGCGCTGGAGCGATATGCAAATTAATGCACGTTATTATGAGCACGCAGCTTCTCATCCGCAAGCGTGGCACGCGAGAAGAAGAGAAGGAGAGAGAGAGAGAGAGAGAGAGAGAGAGAGAGAGAGAGAGAGAGAGAGAGAGAGAGAGCATAGTTCTGTGCTCGCGATATGTAAAGTGCGAATTAAAGTATTCCTTCACCGCTCTACCGATAAATAACGCGAGAGAAAACGAAATAACGAGAAACGTCACGCGCGCTAGTCATCTGTTTCGTGTCTGTCTGTCTGTCTGTCTGTCGTATGTTGTGCATCGACTGATCGCATCATCTTGTCGCGCGTCCGCACGTAAAAGGCGGCCACCCTCAGCCCTTCCTCCTCCGTCTCCTCCTCTCTGTGTCTCTCTCATCGATTTTTCTCCTTGACCGTGCGGAATTCAAAACATCTTCCAATTTTCTTTAGCGAACCGCGTCGCGCAACGACGTCAGATAATCCCACGTATCCCTGGAAGCTCGTAAATTTCGGAACGCATAGCGGCCAGTAATATAGATGATCGATAAAATAGTTCTGTGACGAGTGTGGCGGGATGAAAAACACCCGACGGCAAGACGTCGAGACGTCTTTGGCGGTTGGCTTATCCGGGCCGGGTTGCTCTTTGCACGCATGTTGTTTCGCGGCTCTACGGCCCATTGGAAGCCCATGCGCACGCTTAAGTTTACGAGTCAGATTTCACGCAAAGATTTATATTCTCAAAGATTCGTGTGTCCGTCGTGTGCAAAAAATAAAATTAAAAAATACCGCTCGTACGCTCGCGCGCGCTTCACCTTCCCCGACGGAACGAATGTTCGTTATCTGTGACTATAGTCGTACGGCGAAAGAATTGCGGTGAAGAGAATCATTTTTGTACGAAGCGTGAAGCACAGTGTTAACGACAATAGCATTGCACGCATATATCGTCGCTATTTCGCAGGGGACAACGATAAAAAAGAGCACAGTCGGCGGCGGGAGAATAACTGTAATTTTAACGACATCAGCCGTTGCTTTCTCTCGACCTAACGAAAAACTCCCGGCCGAGTGAGCTGCTGCCGAGCAAATATCTCTCCCCGCGGGACTCGGAGAGATTTCGCGCAACTCCGCGCGGAATCCGCGAATTGCGAGCCGAAAGTGTATCTCCTCTTCGTGTTTCGCGCGATTGCTGAATGGGGGGGGGGAGGGCGGGTATATTAACGGAGCCGAGTCCCTCGCAGAAGAGTCGCTCGCGCGGAGCGGAGCGCACATTGCGGAGAGAACCGCGGTATCTCGGCGAGAACGGCTAGAACGGAGGAGGAGAGCTTCTGTTCCACTGAAGCGAAAGTTCCGGTCGGCCGCGACACACAGCGCGCGCGCGCGCGCGCGCGCGCGCCCCGTCTCGCTCGACGGTTACATAGAGTGAAAGTTTAACGAGTTATAAGCCCGGCAAGAGCGCAGCACTTGGTGCGGCACATGCACGAGATACGCGCCGCGTTAAAGAGGACACCGGGATTTCCTGCTCGCTAAAGTTCCGGCGATAAATCGAACCGGAATGCTAATACTTCGGCCGGATAGTTTGTCTCGCGCTTTGCCTTTCCGCCCGAGCGCGATATGTTAATTCCACGGACGGCATTTCCGCCCGAATTCTTGCCCGCTTCTTCCTCCGTCCGCTCTCCTCCGCGGGCCCCCTCTCTCACCCTCTCTCTCGGCGAGAAAGTCCCCTCGAGTTCTCTTGTATATCCCGCGATACGTGTCCGCGTCGCCCGTAATACCGTTCAATCTTCAAGCCGAATGAGCGACGTGCGAACACACGACGGCTCGTGCCCGGCGAAATTAGAACGATTCGCGGCGATTCTCTCTCTCTCTCTCTCTCTCTCTCTCCTATAACGCCTTTCCGCCCCGAGGCGACTCGCATGCTCGACAGCTCGGAACGCGACGTCAGATACCGTTCTCGTGCGTGATCTTTCAACGTCGCTTCGACAGACGCACGGTATAAAGATATGCCTGACGTCGGACTCGCGCGCTATTTGTCTCGACGCTGGCAGGCGGGACGCCGTCAAGCTCCCGTCGAAACATTCTTCGCTTTCACGCTGGATTATTCACAGTATCCGTCACCGTCACATCTTAACCTTTCCTGTTGGGAAAAAAAGATTCTCGACGGCTCGCGCGGATAGAGCGACGGGGTCTCGGCGACAGGTTCCGTTATCGCGAGTCGCATTATGGCCGCGACACACGTAAATTTTTAATCGGCTTCGCCGGACGTTTGGCGAATCCCGCACTTACCAATCTGAGGGTCGCACCTGTCTGGGCATTAACGTTGTAATCCCGAGATTTGCGAGGAGGGCCAACACGCAGGAGGTGGTGGCACCGGGACGCTAGGGTGGAGGACAGGGGACGGGGCGACGAGGGAGGCGGGAAGGGGGGGCACAGGATAGCGGGCGAAGGGAGCGGGAATGGACGGACCCAGCTAAACGAGCGGATTCGTAATCCCTTTACTGCCGCACGACGAGAGGCTTTGATGCTGACGAGCTTAGCGCTTAGCGACTTTCGTAACCGTGTCAAGCCGGCCTAAAAGACGAGTCGACTGAGACGCGTCGACTGGGCCGAGCCTTTTCCGCGTTAAGAGCCATTCGTCCGGATCTTTTCACATTACGTCTGCCTTCGAGATTATAACGCCCAAGACTGTGAGGCGTGAGGGGATTTAGTATCGCCCGACGACAGAGGGAGGGACGGAAAGAGAGGAGTCGCGCCCCCTTTCCGGCCCGTCACATAATCTTGTCTCATTGCCGTAGACACGACTTTTCAGCTGCAATGGTCGCTCTCATTTCTCAAAGGTATCTTAACTTCGCGTTCTCCTCGTCTTTCGTCCTCCCTCTCCCCCTTCGCCGCGAAGGCGCACGGTGAGGCCAGTTTCTAATATGCTTTTTGCGTTTCGCGCGAGTTAATCTCGCCCACCACGTACGGATCGATCCGATGAATCAGCGAGACAGAGAGAGAGAGAGAGAGAGAGAGAGAGGGGGGGTGGTCGTGAGGGGGAAAAATGTTGGCTGATTCGTGATCCTACTTGGAGATAAGACCGTCGTGGGGATACCGTGAAAGTAGAACCGGCTACAGGAAGGTCCTCGGGATGGATCACACACAGACGCGCTTTTCAGGAAATATCGATAATGCGCGAGCGTTAGTCCGCCGAACAATCGGCCCGCCGGTGAATATCGACGAACACGTCGTGTCCCTGGATCTGGATTGTTGATAACGCTCGTAAAAGACGCGCTCGCGCAACATACTTAAAACTTCTTTACTGCGAGCACTTTGAACTTTAATAAGGTTATTTGCAAGATCGTAACGATATTAAAAACGTTTAGGAAGCGGGAAGCCGAAAGTCGGACGGCAGCCGCGCCCCGTCGGGCTCAATATCCGCGAGAGGGCCTCGGGTCGGGACGGCTTCGTTTAATCTTTCATTGAAATCTCGCTGTCTCACCCGACGTTATATCGCGTCGTAATTAAGCATGGACGTCCGAGCGGGGCGAAGTCGGCCGAAGTCATCGGAGGAGACGCCAAGTTCAATTTTCTGTTCAAAAATTCATCAGCCCGAAAAAGTTGCCGGGAGTTGGCGGGAGAGACATGTCGCCGTCGCCGTCGCCGTCGGGGGACGCTTAATGAGGAGCGAAACCTCGGTATCTCGTTAAAAATAGATCCGCCCGGCTATATCGCGCGCGCGCGCGCGGTCTTGATACTCCAGGAGTCAACGTTGCATCTCGTCGCGAGCCGTCGTTGTAATAGCATATCAAACTACCACGATAACGAGCTGAAATTACATCGCCTTTGGCCACGATGAGGGGGCGCGCGTGTGTGTGTGTGTGTTTCTTGCTGCCTCGCCTACCACTCGACGCAAATTCCGGAAAACATGCCGAGACGATATCTCTGAAAAGTCAGAGTGCCATTCTGAATGCGCCGTTTCTCCTTCGGGCACGCGTTTGCCGCGGGCGAGGGGGATGCTCGCTTAAAATAAAGAACAGTCGTCTGTTTATTCTCTCCTTTATCGCGCGCGCGCGAGAGAGAGAGAGAGAGAGAGAGAGAGAGAGAGAGAGAGAGAGAGAGAGAGAGAGAGCGGGCTTTCTCGCGCAGCTGCATCTGGTAGACCGCCGTCTAAACGAGGTGAAGACACTACGCCGGCAGAGACGTCTTACATATTTCAGCTTGTCGCCCACGAGAGACGACTGTCGACCTCGGCCTCGCGAACAATGGCTGCGATGAGTTTGGGTTTCATCGTCATGGTCACGCCGTGGACGATCCAGGAAGTCGTTGCAGCCTGCACCGGAAGCAAGCCACCGCCGTTCCTCGACTTCCTGGCCACGTGGCTGGCGCTCTCCAACAGCTTCTGGAATCCATTCCTCTACTGGCTGCTCAACAATCATTTCCGCCGAATTTCCAGGGAGCTCCTTTACAGTAAGGTACGCGCTCCACCGCTCACGCGATCGTCAACGCTGACGACAACTGATTTCTCGACGATAAGACAGACGCGCGCGCGCGCGCGTTTAGGGGAAAAGGAAAGAAAACGAGAGTATCACGAAACGAGTGAAAAGAGCAACAACGAGACAAGACTGCTCGAACGTCGGTCGAGCGCAAATGAAATTTCGGACGGTATCCGACCGCATTTCAGAACCGTTAAAACTCGCTTTCTAACGCGCCAGAGGGAAACGACGCGAGCGCTTTGTGCCTTCATTTTACACTGATACATCCTTAACTCGCTCTACGATAATTAGATTTACTCGACGAGCTTTCACCTGTCGTTTTTCCTTTCACCGCGCTCGAGGGCCAACTCGCTCGGCTCTGCGCGCGAATTGCGCGCTGGACCATTACGGCTGCAGCGTAAACTCCCCCTCTTTTTGTTGATACTTCTCACAAAACTGGTTACGCGCGAGTTTTTAGCGCTAACTCCTGCGTGTTTTCGCATGCCCATTAGAGACGATCCCGCGCGCGTGCGCGCGCGATTCTTGACTCGGAAACCATTATTTTCCCGCTCAACTGGTGCAATAAAATAGCTTTCGTTGTCACGAGACAAATCGCCGACCACGCTTCGTCAAGTATCTCTTGCGCATCGCTGAGTTGCGCGCGCTGTTACCCTCCCTCCCCCCCCCGCGTGATTTTCGACAAATCACATCGACGATCTATTGGCGGCAAAGAGTTCAGCAAAAAAAAAAAAGAAAAAAAAAATACGAACAAGAGGAAGGATATCGTCGCGGCGGAATCTCTCGTGCCTCCCGCGCACAGTAACTTATCACGCGCGATATTTTCGCGTTCAGCTTATCGAGAGCTCATATCCATTCCCATTGTCGGCCGATGCGCTACAATGGAATAATCGATTCGCACGGCGAGTGAATTAGAGTACGGCGACGTATAATAGCGAAAGAAGACAGAGAGCGACACTTTGCGCTCTCGCGCGCCTCCCACCTCCCACCTCCCGCGCCCTTCCGCGCGGGGAACCGCAAATTTATGCGATTAGATAGAGCCGGGAGATATTCGCGCGGCGAACGCCGCGCTGCCTTCCTCTTATTCACTGATCGTCCCTCTTCCTCCTCCCTTCCCTCCCTTCACTCCCGTTGCGCCGTTACATCACGTTACGGCGCGTTCTTCTCACCGCCGCGTTTCCACGCTGCTTCGCGCGCTCCTTTTACCTCGCGAAATCAATCGTGCGTGCCCGCGCGACGAGGGTCGTTGAATTCCTCGAAGACGATGTCGCGCGTCCCGCGTATCGCGGCGCGGCGAACGAATGGAGACGGACGGCTCCGTCGCGACCTCGCGGCAGGAGCATCCTGTCTGTCCAGGGTGGCCACCCTGGGCGGGAAACTATCGCGGCCATTTACCCATGCCCAGCTGCAGCGCAGCTATACGGCCAACTAACGGCGTTGGGAAACGAGATTTATCCGGCGCGTTACGCGCCGTACGGATGCGTCCCGCGACGGATTCAACGGCGGCGGTGGTGGTTGTCCTTTCCTCTTCCGCCCCTGTCGCGCTCTCCTTTGGGATCCTGGGACGAGGGCGAAAGGGTTGTACTCCCCACGCGAGCGCGAGCGCGCTCGGCCACAGCCGTAGATCTTGGCGCGTTCGACTTTACAGGCCATGAATTCCGAAAAGCCCGTCGGCGCGCCGTAAATCTTTAATCGCCGCGCGCCCCTGCGGCCTCTCACACATGCCCTCTCTCTCTCCCCCTCCCCCTCCCGCCGCTCTCGCTCTCGTTTCTCACGTTTGCCGGGAGGTTACGCGAGGCCGAAGAGCGCGCGCGTAATTTTGGTATTCGTTTAAACATGACGCGGCGCGACGCGACGCTCCACCGACGAGCAGCGCGATTGACGACGCGGTCGACAAACGAGTTTGCTCTCGCTGCTACGAGAAGTGAAAACTTGGTCGCCGCTGTCTTGGTGCGCTCTACACACACGTACATCGCGCTGCGCTGCGCGCTCCTGCGAAAAATGGAAATCGATCCGTGGATTATTGCGAACGGCAGCGACGGTCGAGGGCGCGCGCGCGCCGGCAATTTTACGCCCGTACACACTCGATCTCCAGTTCCGGAATTGTTTGCGAAAAGTAATTAATTTTCGCGTGTTATTCTTCCGACGATCCACCGCGGGTGTTCTTAGCGTTTGCAATTAAAAAGAGTTACGGCGCGCGATCGGTGCCGTGGAAGGCGTCTCTTCAATCCTCTTCCCGAAAAATTTATTGTTTAGCGATAGAGAGAGAGAGAGAGAGAGAGAGAGAGAGAGAGAGAGAGAGAGAGAGGGAGGGGAGAGGAGGACGGTATGCATAGGTGACACACGCGCCTCTTTCTCTCGGAATACGCGTTGCGAGACGAACGATGAAAATTTGCGACGAGTTCGACGCGACATGGCATGATTTGCCGTCGCGCGTGCTGTGTGTTTCATATGCTGGAAAATATGACGACGTACGTTTCGATGAAGCGATCGATGCAACAGACTGCGGGAATCATTTTGCATAGATACGAGCGCGAGCGCGGCAGCTCGAGCATTCCGGGAATCGTACATCGGATATTGCGGTCGAATCTCAGTTTTTAGTGGATCGAATATTGCCCGTGAAACACAAGGAGATCTCGCGCGCGCGCGCGCGCGCTTCGCAAAGAGAAGCGCGAGCTTCGCGCTGTCTCCGTTTCCGGAGTTTCCGCGAGAGAAGAAAAGGCAACCTCGCCCCTCTCGCGGAAACGGCGACAGACAGGAAAAAGAAGACAGACGAAGGGACCGAGGAAAAGCGCGACAACGAGAAGATGAAAAAATCATCGCGAAAATAATATCGTCGCGAGAGGGATCCTGTCACCTGCGCTGCGGTGATGAATCGAGCGAGTTGCGTAACCGGTAGAGCTCACCGGACGACGTGTATCGGCGAGGGAGAAAGAGAGAGAGAGAGAGAGAGAGAGAGAGAGAGAGAGAGAGAGAAAAAGTTGCCATCCGTGCCAGCGATGCATTATTATTGCAACTGTCGCGACGCAGCGAGTAGTAACGCTTGCATCTCTCGTGTTACTGCCAGATACGCGAATGACATTCGGCGAACTGTATTCCTCGTTGGCCGTAATTCCGTTCCATTTCCAGGCATTCCGTCTCGATGCCGCGCCGTGGCCGGCCAAAGTTAACGGGAGCGCGGCGGCGCGCGGTACGCGGGAGCGCGAGTTTACAATTAGAATCGCCACTTTGCATCGACGCGGCAGACCCGGGCGCACCAACCCATTCGCATTCGCGTCATCCGACGCGGTACGGCGCGGTACGGCGCGGCCGCGAGATAATGTCGCGATTATTTATTGCTCTTTTTCCGCGACGAAGGATGTAGGGGGTAGTACCTCGGCGTTATATAGCGCGGTCGATCGGGGTAAAGCTCTCGCAAAATCTGCCAGTATTTTCACCGACTGATTTATCGCTCGTAAGACTGACAGCCGTCCCTCCCTCCCTCCCTCCCTCCCTCTGCCGCTCCCTCTCTTTTTTTTCTCACTCCGCTCGGCGTCGATGCGAACGCAGGCATCGTGCCTGTCACGATCGATAATAGGGCTGATCTTATAATTCCCTTTTTACATGCAGATTCTGTGCAGATCTAAGCCGCTAGAGACGAAGCAACACTGCTGCACGACCAGCACCGGCGGTCTGGACGTCTGCAGCATCGCCGGCGTCGACCTGTCAGGTACGTCGTGAGAAACAGCCCAGGATCGGCGAGGATTTCGCGAACATCACGCGTTCATCGAAATTAATATATTCCGGCACGTATCGCCGATTGTCCAATATACCTTCCGGCTCGCGCCTGTCGTTCGCGACGAGCCTGATTCGCGATCCCGCTTTCCTATCGATTCTCCGCCAACGATGACGCCCCGGCCCGGCGAGATTAATGCAATCAATGTTTCGCGCTAATTAAACCAAGTGGGAAGTCAGCCTTTTGACGGCGTCCATTATCGCGGTATTAATCGCGTCCTCGCTCGTTCCTCTCACTCCCCCTAATCTATCTATCTCTTTCGGGTGTGCCGTTCATAAGTGATATGTAAAGGGATCGCTGGGAATAATCAACGTCAACCGGGGCGCGCGTGACAGCCAACTGTGTGTCATGATCAGCGCGCTTTGAGCGCGGCTTGCATCGCGTCGTACTATTTACAATGAGTCCGTAGCCGATGATTACTCCGCGCGAGCGCTGCGTCTTTACGAGTGCTGCATTCCGAATGCTGCGGAATGAATGCTCCAACAACGATGCTCCCGCAGGACATTTAATCCTTACCGCGCGTTGTGTAACGTTCGGCTATGCGGAAATTCCAGGCGTTTTTGTCTACGGGGCGCTCCTAATTGGAACATTTGGACAGAGAATGAGACAGAGAGACAGAGAGAGAGAGAGAGAGAGAGAGAGAGAGAGAGAGAGAGAGCGAGAGGGAGAGAGAGAGAGAGGAGGGAGGGAGGGAGGGAGAAGACGGAGATAAAGTTGGAACGGAACGAAAGTAGGTTGGCTGAGGGTCAAGGTTCGTCGGAAGTCCCTTCTCCGAGAGGGAGAGAGTACTCCTCCGCGCACTAAAATCTCGGAACAAGTGGATATATCAAGCCACCGTCGCAAGTTTATTCGGCGAAGTCATCGAGTTCGATCGAGCCGCGCTGTGCGATATAATCTCTCTCTCTCTCTCTCTCTCTCTCTCTCTCTCTCTCTCTCGCGAGAGAATTCGAACGTGGAGTATCCGACATGACACGCTCCACACTGTAAAACTAGGCATCGGAACGTGTTAAAATTGAGTGTTAGTGCGTTATTTGGACACATTAGCTGGCGTTAAGGCACCAAGTGCGTCAAAATAATTCGTTTTCTGTGACAAAAGTGTGTTTTAATAACACACTTGTCTGTAACACACCATGTAACACCCTATAGAAACGTGTTACTTTTCCTCATCAATCCCATGATACACGTAGAGCGTGTTATTTAGACACAGAATGATAATCGAATTATATTGAGAACACACCTGGATGATATATTGGATAACACATCAAATCACGTAGCACGCTAGTAATGTGTTCATGATAACACACTAATTTTGTTAACACACGTTCGAATGAACACACATATGTGTGTTAAAAGAAATACATGTGGGAGAAACACAAATCGACAAAATCGGCGATTACTACTCGCCTTCGAAAAAGTATCTGTTGTGTCTACTGAACAAATTAATGCAATAATAACTTGCTCTCGTATTATTGCAGACTCATTAATTATGCGTTATTCATTATTATATGTTTAAACGTAATACGTTAAATAACGCGTGAACGTTAAAACGGAAGAAACGTGCAAAAAAGAAAATTCATTCATTTGCACGCTTGTGCGCTTCAAAATAACACACTTGGATTTGCAATGTTGCTCGATTCACCTTCATAACACACTTGAGGTGTGTTATTTTGATATACCTTCATAACACATTTGAGGAACGTTATTTTGATGCACTTTCATAACACACTGAAAGTGTGTTATTTTAATACACCTAACCGTTACACACACACGATACAAACGATTATATTTAACACGTACATAAGTATGTTCTTTTAACATACATATATGTGTTAATTTAATTTGCTGATTTTGTATGTCTAAAGCGGAGACATACTTTAACGCGCTTTCAAGCATATTATCGTAACACACTTCAGTTTACACAGTGCATTTGAGGAAACGATGTGAGCTCCCTCCGACAAAAGGGCTCGTTTTGCAATCAGCGATCGTAAAAACGAACGTGACGTCCGTGCAGGACGCGAGGGCAAATTCGCGCTCTTCATCATCGGTCGCCAGTCGCAGGAGTCATATCGCGTTACGGAGAATGTCGCGACATTTAATTATTTCCGGCAGGCTCGCGCGCGAAGCGAGGCGCGAGCGGAGTCGAATTGAAAAGCAAATTGACTTGTACAACGGCGACACTCGTTTCGAATCTATTAAACGACGCGCGATGTACACGGAGCCGGACAACAACAACAACAACGCGCACGCGAACGAACCGTTAATCGTTATTTGCGCGGGGATAACGCACTGATAACGCTGATGTCTGCTGCGTCGCATGAGCCCGCGAGAGCCACTCTTACGCATTGTTCATCGGCCTTTCGTTTCAGGTTTGGAGCGTTGCTCAATGGAACGATACTCGATGGCGCGTTGTTCCTCGTTATCGCTGGCGAATACGCCGCCGCCGCTCTCATGGGAGGCCGTACACGTGACACATGGCGACGCGGAGTCCACGTGAGGTACACGCCACATAAATACGATTCTACTCGCCGGTGTGCTCCTGCGTTCTAGGCGGCGCGAAATGTGCCGCCTCGCGTTTATAATGTAACGATAAATTGAGGCAATTTGCGGACGAAAACGCGGCGATGCCGATCGCTCTGTTGGCTTACGAAATATTCAAATTCTAATCAAACGAGGGTGAAGAAGCAGTGAATGGAGCTTCGCAGAGGCGCGAGTGAACGGACGGAATCGTGTTATCCAATTTAAATTTGACAGCTTTGTCTCGCGACTGTGATTATGAGAAAGAGAGAAAGAGAGAGAGAGAGAGAGAGAGAGAGAAGAATGAAAGGTGCTCAATGCATCGAATATTAAAACGAACGAATTAAGCGAACGTTGTTGTCCTACAGCAATGTTTAAAAATTAATGTTTAGGGAAGAATTTACTATAAAAACGCGACAGACAAACGGAGCGAGCGTGTTTTCAACCGCCGTTGTCTTTCCGCGACTTTCCACTTCCAGACGTATCGCAAAGCATTCTCAAAGTTTTACGGCCAAGTACAGACTCTTTGTTCGTCAAGTGCGACAAATGGCTGCGCTTACGAGCGTGGAGAATCAAAAGGATCGCCGAATTTTTCTCCGCTCTCCCTCTTTCTCACCACGTGTCGAGAGACACGAGGAGAAGCAGGTTTCCGAGGCTGGGTCCGTCTAGACGGCAGGCAGAAGTAAGCCTTCGTTAAATTTTTAAAAATGCTTAAGGAGGATTATGACATTTTTATGAAGAAGAAAAGAAGATTACTATCAATAACATTGATCGCGCGTGACGGTGAGACGGATACGACGAATATTCCAATGCAAGAATATCGAGAAACGTCTCGACAGAGTCTCGCCTGCCGTCGTCTAGACGGACATGACAGTTCGCTCGAATTACCGCGATACAACGAACGAACCAGACGCAGTCCGGCTGAAGGAAACGGAGAGCCCCTCGCTCTTACGCATGCAACTCGAGCCTGAGAAGCAAAGATCCTCCGTTTCTTCGGAAACGAAACGCGCTTGGTTCTATCGCGTTATGCTTGATTCGACGAATCCAGCACGCAACGCCGTTTGATCGGCGCTAATAACGCAAGCCGCCGGGGCCGGGCCCTTTCCAGCCAGAGATGCCGCCACGCAGACGGAGGATTTCGGATCTCCGGACGACGCCAGTTAGTACAGCGTGGCGGCATGCCGGCACCCGACGCTCCAACATTTCCGGACACATCCGTCGTCTGTACGTCGACACCCGCGTGACGACGCCGCCGCCGTCGCCGCCGCCGCCGTCGCACCCTCGCTGGCACGAGGGCGAGCTTTGCGCGTCGAGGAGGAAGAAGACGAAGGGCAGGAGGAGAACGACCGCGGCGTCGCGGCGGTCCAGCGTCATCGACATGCTCGACGAGTGGCTCGCTTCGAGTACGCGCGCCTCGACAGCCTGCCGGACCTCGTGCGACAGCTCGAGCCGCGCTGAAACTAATTGCGAACAAGTCGTCGCTGTCGTTGAACACGCGACTGCGGTGCGACTCGGTGCGCCGAAAACAGCGGCCGGCCTCTCTCGCTCGCTCGCTCGCTCGGCAGCGGGAAGAGGGACGCGAGCGCGCGGACGCGCGACGCGCGTGTCGACAGCGCCGATTAACTCGTCGAGATGAGATCGATTACGGGAATTTATTACGGCGCGCGAGCTTCGGAGTTACTAAACGCGCCGCGATGCACGCGGAGATGTTTAATGCGCGCGGCACAGCTCGGCACTCAGCGGGAGTGTTAATTCGCGCCCGCATGCGCTCAATTTGGTCGCGCGATTGATCAGCGCGCGAGTGGCCGCGAGCGAGCGAGCGAGCGAGCGGTACGACGCAGCTCTTTTCGTTCGCTTGTTTTTCCTTCTTCTACTTTCTTCTCCCTCTCTTCTTTCTTTCGTCCGTGATTCCGTGTAACTTGACTCGTCTTTCCTTCCTTTTACGTCCCATCAAAGTGCATAAATGTTTGAAGGCAACGGAGGTCGTTGTCGCGGCACGCTGGGAATTCCGACCGCCTCTTCTTCTTCACGAACGCCGCGGGGTAGTCGTGATCGATTGGGAAAGTTGAAGTTTTTCCCGGGGAAAATTTCAATTCGATGTCTCGGAGTAATCTCGGGCAGTACCGCTCGTCGTTTCGCGTAGCACCCGCGCGCGCGCGCGCGCGCGCGGCTAGGAGCGACGATGGAATCGCGCGAGTAAAGCGACACCGCGCGCGCAAGGAGGAAGCGAGGCGCGCCTCAACGTGTAAATTGTTGTTGTTTGCTCAAGCTCGAGAGCTCATTGGCGTCAGGCCAGTGCATACCAAATTGGTAGTGCCAAACTCTTATATCCACGTCGTGTACATCGGTTGTGTTATACGAATATTTCGCGAGAGGGAAAGAAAGAAGGAAGAGAGAGAGAGAGAGAGAGAGAGAGAGAGAGAGAGAGAGAGAGAGAGAGAGAGACCGCGAACGAGGGAAAAAGAAGCCCGACAAGAACGCGCACAGTGTTGTTGCAACACTTCCTCTCCCCCTTCCTTGGAGGGAGAATCATTCTCTTTCAGTATCGCAGAATTTTATACTACGATCATGAGCGCGCTACGTAGATAGAAGACAGTGCCACAGGTCCGCGCTTTCCTCCGAGTCTTGATTTGTTATCCGCGAACGAGTTATCTCGCCGACGCTCGCCGAGAGAGAGAGAAGTTCGTCCGAGAGTTACGAGACGAATTAATCGGCGAATTACATTGATTTAGCGTAATGCAGACAGGACGACACGGCGACAGCACGAGTTTCCTCGCGAGGATAAATTTGCGGAGCGAAGCGCCGTTTCCTCGCGCCGCACGGGAAGGACGTGCGTCCGAAGGACGGTTCGAGACGCTCGTCGATTCTCCTTCGGCTTGGCTGCGAGAACTCGTGAGAGACAGGCCGGAGGCTCCCGCCAAGTTACGTTTGGTGGACGTTATCGGAGGACTCGCGTCGGGATATATCCGAGACGCGGCGAATGGTATCTCCGCTTTAAACGAGAAACACGGAATCGATGCCGTGCATGTTTTGGCGTCGTGTGTTGGTGACGGAGGGATCCTCTCGCGTGTGTGGGAAGAAATTACTCAGCGCTGCGGAGCGAGACATAGGCTTTTCTCACCGGAAGATGGAAAGTATCGAGGTGATCGGAGAGAGATAGAATCGCTCGTTAACGAGCTCGGCCGATGTTGTCCCGCCTCGTTTCGTGTGTCTCTCTCGCTTCGTTCTCAGAGAGAATCTGAACCTTTTCCTCTTTTCCCTCTTCCCCTCCTCCTTCCCTTTCTCCGTTTCTTTTCCCCCCTCCTTCTCTCGTCGTTGTCTCTTTCTCGAGGGGAGAGATAGAAACCGCGGTAAGGACCTGAAGTAATTACGCGCTTTCAATTTATAATTATAATTGTAGATATGTCATTTGCGCGCGCGCGTGCATCCCTCCCCGCAGGGAAGGAGAGGGTATTTATTATATTTGTACAGAGTTACACACGAGTTTTCGCGAACGGGATCAATGTTATCGATCAATGCGAGTGTCGCGTGCGATATTCGCGGCGCCGTATTCGCGCGCTTCTGCAAAGATAAAGTCGACACGGTCGACACTTCATTAGCTTAAATTAACACAGAGCCGGCGGGCGGGTCTTTACTTGTTTTCATGCTACTGATAACGAAGCGTGCCGTGTGCGCCTCGGACGGTAACTCGGCGGTTCTTTGAAGTACGTGTCTCGAGACTCTTATCCCGCTTCGCTCGAGATCTCGAGAGCGAGAGAGCGAAAGAGAGAGAGAGAGGAGGGAGAAAAGGGAGAGAGAGCGAGGAAAAGACAAATAGACAGCGAGAGAGAAAGGGAGAAAGGGAGAAAGATGGAGGTTGCTTATCAAAAATTCCTCCCGTGTGTTCGCGCATGTGAGGAAAAGTGATCATACTGCGGCCATATAATCGATTAAGACACGTGGACTCTCGCGTACTGATAATACAGGCGATCGATCGGGGCTGTGTGGAGCGAGCGATAGCGCGCGCTATTCGTCGAACACGTTAAAGACAGAGCCGTGCAGTTCCATTGAGCATGAATAACAAGTGACAGGAACGTAAACTGCAGGACTGGACCTAGGAGAGGTAAGGTATTTAATTGACAAGAAAAGAGGGAGAGAGAGAGAGAGAGAGAGAGAGAGAGAGAGAGAGAGAGAGAGAATAGGAAAAACGATTGCGGTTTCAGACTCGAATTTGTTGCGAGGATTTATCGTACGCTCGCGAACCGCGGTATCTCTAGCAGATAAATATTCCCTTCGCGCTCACTTCGCTTTTTATAGCTCTCGTCATGTCCCTATTTTGCACCACAGATGCAGCGGAACGTTAATGCGAGAGGAAGAGAAATTAAAAGAATAAAGAAAAACCAGCATAACTGGAATTTTGCGAACTCGCAAAAAGTAAGTAAGAGCAATTAGTTAGCAGCGTAGGTAGAACGAAGGGTAGAGTTTTGTCGCATCGTGTGAAGCTCGCGCGCGTCAAACTCTCTTACGAGCTGTGTTTTGTTGCACGCGAGAATTCAGAGTTCTCTCCTCGTGCGAGTCCTCACGCGTCGGAGACTGTGGAGGATCTCCGGAGCTGGATTACACTTATATTTTCGTGACGTATCGTACTCTCCGCCGAGGTCGCCGCCGCATAAATCACTTAGCAATGGCCGCGAAAGAGAGAGAGAGAGAGAGAGAGAGAGAGGAAGAATCGATCACTGAGATCTCTCAACGTGATAAAACTCATACGCGGACTTAGCGATAGCGTTACACAAGGCGATATAAGAGAGAAAGGAAAGTCAGGGGAGGAAAGAGTAGAAAGAGAGAGAGAGAGAGAGAGAGAGAGAGAGAGAGAGAGAGAGAGAGAGAGAGAGAGAGAGAGAGAGAGAGAGAGAGAGAGAGAGAGGAAACGTGACATTACCTCGCCCTCCTAGACGTCGTAGCGAGCCGATGCCGAGGGGTCTGCGATCTGAAAGGAAAGACAGTTTAGGATGAAACACTGCCTGCGAATGATTCACCGGTCGACACGAGACAGCTCGGCTGTCCGCGACGTCGATGCCGCGATTCACCGCTACTTTGTATCGTATCGAATGCGAATCGTTTTTGTATTCAACAACTCGACGTATACCGACTATAGGCGTATATAGGTAGTACACTCTAGGTAAGACCACTAGCTAGAAAGTGCAACACAAGACGACTAGTTAGTATTTACTTGATTAAAACCGCGAGACTTTTACTAATCACACCACCGAACGAATGCCTTAATCGGGGAACTTTTTGTAAGAATCAGTGTACGTACGGGGTGAAAAAGGAAACGGGGGCGAAATTGAAGGAACACACAAACGTCGCACAAGCTCTGCGGAGGATCGCTACGCATCGGTCGGTTGAATTCGGCTATTTCTCGCAGAGTAAAATAGGAATTGAGCGCCGCGTAAGTCATTTAGTAAGGGCGATATAGATTCGCGCTGCTCTCGCGCGCGCGCGTTTTGTATGGCGTTTTAATTATCGTCGGATCGTCGATTGTCGTTGTTAATAGCGGTGAAATAAAAGAAGGAAAGAAACAGTCTCTCCGTTATACTTATAGAAATATAATTTTGAATCATTATCCTGCAAGCAACAATTGATCGAACGTTAAAATAAAGTTGTGAGAGACAACTTTGCGCGTACAGTGACGAATTAATTTCCACATTTGCTGTGTGCACCACACATCATCCAGTTTCAGTTACTGATGATAGCAATAACGATAACTATTTTGCAAGATATTTTCACGAGGCAGTAATCGATAAATTTTCTGTGCACAAAATCAAGTGTGTATGAAAGTGTGTGTGTGTGTGTGTGTGCGTGCGCACACGAGAGGTATATGTATATGTATGTAAACATACAAAAAAGCGACACTAGCCGTATGCGACATCGCAGTAAAAATTTACTTATTCGCTACGTATCGTTTTCCAAACTAATACGAGGGTTGTTAAAAAAGATTAAAGAAAAGGAAGAGAAAGGGAGCAGAACAGTAAATCAAGTGAGAATCGATCGCAGGTCGGTCAGTAACTTTATTACCGCGTCGACTGTAAGGTAAGAGTAATAGGCCGTAAAAAGCGACGTTAAACGGGACACCTAATTTTAGTACAAGCGACGAACTAATTATCCAGTTTAGCCGGGACTTGCAGGTATTCTCCGTGCAAGTAAGTTCGACGACTCTCGCTTGTCGAAGGATCCTCGCCACGCGCGTAGTTTAGCACACTTTTCTTCGGCCTTTTTATTAGAGAATTTTCGATACGGCAGCTTTATTTCGTATTGTTACGGACAATTGCGGACACGACTGTATCGCAAAATGATGTATATACTTATAACATGACGTATGTTTGTCAATAAATAATTCGTACAAGGAGAAACAGCCCCCCCCCCCGTCGCAGTTCATTCGCTTCGCCGACAAACGCAAAAGTTTGACGCGGAAATAATAAGACGTATTTGCACGATATATCTCGAGGGGGAGGATCTTACGTATTTAACGACACTGTAATATTCTAAACTCTTAGTAGTTTATTATATGTTCGTTTGTGTACAGATTTCTCATTCATAGAAACAAATTACTAGGAGAAAATTTTATATTACATTACGTCACTTGACATAGCCCTTTAGCGGGAATTTCGCAATAAAGTATGGGTCGCTTAACATAGCCGAGGTAGTGAGCACTTTTGAAGTGTGCTGCGATGCAAAGAAGAGGCTTAGATACTCCACTGTCGGTGATTTTAGCGCGTTAGATAATTCAGTCAAAATACGTTTCGAAGTTTGTTATTTATAGCGCGGATCGAGTTACGCATACTTTCCAACTGAGACAAGAACTCATAGTGAGTAACAAACGCATAATTGAGCTCTGTAAATCCTCCTTCGCGGTAACATTCGTATCGTTATGATATGGTTAATTTTGTTTCCTTATATCTCAGCTATAAGCTCGTTTTCGAACAAAATGTGCTTTCGAGGTACGTTGAACATATCTTCGGGATCAGCGTTTTCGAGTTTCACAAGGTTGCGGTTTGTACAACCCGGCGGAAGAGACAATCGCGTGAATTCACGTTAATAAAATTTATGAAGGGAGGATCGGTCGTATCGGTCCGACGAGGTCTGCGCATGCGATTATATTAGCGTTAATGCTAAAACTTATCGGCTACCGCTCGTTATATCTCGTTATATTAAACTCAAGTACGCTCGTAAATTGGTATATGGTATATTTATATCGTGATATTAATCTCTTTCGCGATACCTGTAAAAATAATCTCACTTTTCGAACGAATATTCTGCATAGAGCTTACGTAGAGAATATACGTATTTAAGTTTTATATATATATATATATATATATATTTAAATATTTATTCTTCTCTTTTATCAAGTAATCTTTGTTAACAGTTTTCCGAATAACTCAGTTGGAATGATAAAAAGAATTATGCCCCTGTCATTTATCGAGATACGAAGAATTATCTTTTTTTTCCATAATGGCACGACTTATAAAAAGTTAAAATATGATTTAATCTATGTTATACACTTTTGGAATTAAGTGATAGAATATTGAAGTAGTTTAGTGCTGCAAATTATTCTCTATCGTAATAATTGTAACAAAGATATCGCAAATTATCCGCAACGATGTAACCTAATCGAAACTAATATCTTTCTCCCTTGATACACATCATCCTCTCGATATGCCTTAAAATATCTGTCAGTAATTTATTAGAAGCATTATATATCCTACGAAATATAAATATTATACGCTTCTCAGGCTTGCGTCGACTGAAGAAAGAGAGACCGGGGATTTGTCTCCGAGTTCCTGGAGCCACGCAACCGATTTAAAATGCACCATTTATCGAAACTTTACAATTTTGAATCACGACGTGTCTTTCGTAGCAACCATTAGGACCAAATAGACGATTACTAGAGATCGAAAACGAAACAACAAATTAACAGTTGCCAAACATACGTTTCAACAATTTCGCGTGAGTTTGTATATAATTGTTCTCATAAAAGTCTCACAGCGTAACAGCCCTTTGAATAAAATCTATGATATATGTATTTAGATAGCCGCGTGCGCGCACACTCGTACACACAAGTACATACATACATACATACATACATACATATATATCTTTCATATCTATGTCCCTCTTAGTTGGGCCTTATAGAATCATTAAAACACATTTGACGTCTCGCGTTTGCTTTCTGATGCTCGACGCGCCCAGTATCAATTAATATTGCCCGGATGGCGCGCGTCAACAAATTAAAATCCGTCGTCGTGTCGCGCAACAACGTCGCGGAAATCCACGAGAAATGTTCTCGTGTATACATCTCGGTATTTGATGCAATACCGTGATATCTTCAAGTACTTTACAGAACACGACACCTGTTCTCAGTATCGACGATCTCTGTACAAAATTCGATTAAACGCTCATATAATTACGTGCTGATAAAACTTTTCCCAATTATACCGACATCGGAATATCCGCGTTAGAAAAGTTCGCGTGAATGATGAAAAGTCGTGTGTCCTCTTTTGGAATGTCTCAAAAAATGCTTCGATATTAAAATCGGATTTTACTTCACAAATGAACACTCTGCCATACTACTCGAACCGTGTTCCGAACCTGTGAACAAAATAAAATCAATAACACGAAAATATTGGGAGAAAAAGAACAGCGACATATCCTATCGCGATTAATATACAGACTTTAGTGTGTACACTTCGTGTACTTACACTTGTCGTGTTTCCCATACGATAATATGTATCATTCGTGACGTCTCATTCAAGATTAATCTGCGCCAATAAATATAGCGTCGATGCATTTCATATAAGAAAAGCATCGAGAAAATCAAGTTCGATGTATCTTCCTCATAGTCACACGTTACAAACGCGCACGTGTGAATCGAGTCCGAACGAACACGGCCACGAAAATTATACAAATCGGAAATGATTGAGCGACGGAAAATTGAAGAAGCTCTCAGTTCTCGACGGCACACCCCTATCTCGCGTCTTAATGTCAAACCCTCTCAAACTAGGTATGTTTTATGCTAATTACTTAGACTTAGGCTATGCAAAAATTACTGTCGCGCATCCGTTGCATTATTCGATTTCGCGGTCTTCTTTTAATATATGTATACATATATGTACAAAGTTTTACCCTTTCTATATGCCACACACACACACACACACACACACATACGATGCACATCCAGATTCATAACGATCGATTCGCAACAATCTCAGACAATTCTCAGCAAACTCGCACTCGACAGGCATACTTTTGAATCGCTTCGGTTTTACATTTTATGATTTTACATTTGTTTGGATATTGTTCGATATGACTTGCGTATTTCAACACACGAACTCCCTCGCGCGTTCCCTCGCCAGGAATGTGTCCGCGGATCTCTCGGTAATACAGACCGCGCCGGAGAGAATGTATCAGCAGTCAGGCGCCGTGTTCTCTCGAAGGAATGCAAAATTCAGACCTTTTTTGCCATTAATATCGAAATCAAGACTTAATTACACGTTAACGTCTAATTTTAATATAATTCCCAGAGATGGCTGTGTGTATATGCATGTGTACGTGGAAAAATATGTTACACTTTACCAACAAACAAACAGACCGCAACACTTGGCGAATGTAACGTGAAGCGACAACCACGCGGTATTTGCATATATATTTTAATATGCAACTCTATTTGTTTTCGCAACGCGTAGATATACCTATCGAAGTTTCGCGTCGTTGTATCCCGAGAAAAATATACAGGTCGACAGGGTTGTTTGTCGGCAACGCGTAGCGTTTCCCACCTTAAACTTCTTAAATTATATAATTAACTTACGTCTCATTCTCGCACACGAAATTCCGTGTTAAGCTTATCTCGGCAGCGGCTGTAGTCCGTGTGTACATACATCAGTCAGATTACGGCTAATAATTATCTATTGGCTACGGTGTAATTAATACCACCATCTTAAAATCGAGCAGTGACCGAGATCCCTCAACCTCTCTTAAATATTGTTCGCACTGAAAGCAACGACCAAAGTATATCGTGTATAAGTCTCAATCATAGCGGTACGCAATAATAATAATAACGAAACCGGCAGCAGGTCGGCTGTAAACGGGTAACCCAGACTGAGGAAGCATATACAATATACGAGATTGGCACTCCATGAAATGCCTCGTCATGTTATCACTATGGATCGTTTGATCCGTGATACGTATTTATCGCGTAGCGTAACGTAGCTGAAGCCGATCGATGATGGACGATTCCTTCATCCCCGAAGCTTTCGAACCCCCTGGCTGTGCCAATGCTCTGTCATATCGACGATAAGTCTAATTACGATTGTCACCTCGGTCAGTATCCATTATATATTGTTACGGTACAATGAGAGAGGGCGAGAGAAATAGGGGGGGGGGGAGGGAGGGGGAAGGACTCGTACACGGTTGCGCGCTGTCGCAGAAAATAAATTATTTTCAGGTCAGCCTGAAAACGTTATCGCCGAACGGTACACGGGCCAGTGAAAGTTGTCTATGAACCCAGACTCGATACGCTAAAATATTAACTAAAACAGACGGCGTATCATCTAACGACGAAGGAGAGGACCGCGATGACGAGCGTCGATATACTTAGGCCGATGCTATCTGCGGACGCGCAGTGAAGATAGTCTTTGTGGTAATAGGTAGAAGGTGGATGCTCGTCCCCCGGCTTACACCATTCGCTCCGCGCTTTAAATTCCCCCTTGAAGAAACAAAGCAGATCGTTAGATAATCGCGTGAGCAACGCTCACCGCGTCCTATTGCAATTCGTGCGCCTCGTCCTTCCGTTCGGTCTTTCTCACCTGACAGATGTCTCGGCAAGGGGGACAGATCAGGGCGCCCTTATGCAGCCATCCGTTCTGCATAATTCTTATGATGATCTCTTGTCCAGCGTGATAGCAGGTGTAAGTGTAGTTGCCGACCTGCGGTAAAAGAGATGCATATATATATATATATATAAATATATATATGAGAATTGGTGTTCTTCTCATTAACGACTTGATAACGATGATATTTTTTTGGTACAACAGCAAAGATAACGGATACAACCCTGGATTCTATCTGGTTTTACTTCTCGCGTGTAAGTGACACGTGTGTAAAGTGGGTAGAAATAAATCCTGAGAAAGGTCTTGCCAAGATTTGGAGAAGAAAGTAACGAAAATTGTAACACAACTCGTTCGTTTCCTTTTGAATAACTAGAACAAGTTAACTTTCTTTCTTTCTTTCTTTCTTTCTTTTTTAATGAGTAACGCCAACGCGTTACTTTTCGCAAGTAACTTTCCCAACCGCGACGTGTATATACCGTCTTTTGATCTGTCCACGTATTTCGTAACTTTGTTACAGAAACCTTTGCGAGCGGCCCGTGGTATATCGCGATGTAACGCACTCACCATAATGTGCAGTCTGCCGGCTTCGCACTTGTATAGGTAACAACCGGAGCCCCAATGCTGCCACTGGCGCGCTTGTTTGCAAGTTCTCTCCTCCCACATGTCATTAGTGTGGTCGAAGCACCTCGAGTGCGGGCCGTACTTCTCTAACGCGAAATTCTTGTCCGGGTCTGAAAGAAGGATTCCACTTGGAGCGGGGGAACAGCTATGCGCCCTTCTTTGCGGTACGTGGATGTGAAACGTCGTCGTGCGACTTACGCGGATTATTCTCCTCGTAAAGGCAGTGGGACCCTCTGACTACTATATTCCGCGCTCTCCACGTGAATTCCTGTATGTACGGACAGTAATCCGCCAGAGACACCGATCCGCCGTAGTATTGTTCCTCTCCGGTTGGTACGTGGGGAATCGAGTCGAAGTTCTACAATACGAGAAGGAGAGACAGAGACAGACAGACAGACAAACAGACAGACAGAGAGAGAGAGAGAGAGAGAGATATATAGATTGCCAACCGAGAATCTTCATACACGTCGCGAATATTCTCGCGACGCGTCGTCACATCGCTGTCGATGCGACACGTCGGTCGCGACAATAGAAACATGCGGCGTTCCCGCGCGCGTGAATTCGCCGTCGAGTATTTCAACAAGTCGTCAGAGACGCGATATTTCTTACTTGATATTTCTTGGCCAACGGCTGCTGATGCTTCACCAGGTTGCAGAGAGCGACCGAGCTCCGATCGTCCGTACACTCGGTCTGCAGCGGATCCTGTTTCACTTTGTTGCAGAAGGGATGTATCGACTTTCCCCTGAAATATTAACGCACCGTGTCGAACAGGTGTATCGCGATGACACGACGACGGACCGAGGCGCGCTCCTCTCAGAGTATTTCAACGTTTACTCACGATAATGGCGACGATTTCGAGGATATCCACTCTTTGCAGGACTTCATAGCGAAATTGCAGCCTAGATTCTTCCCCCATCCCAACTCCTGCGCCATCGAATAGTTGGCGCTGTACCAGCCGGTGTCCTCCATGAGGGCGAGCGTTATCCTCGAGTAAACTGGATTTTGCGTATGCGTCCCTGTCATAGCTTCGTTCTGCGGAAGCGAAAGAGAACATGCTACGACATGCTGTATAAATTCTTCTTATCGAGAAACTCAAACACACGGGACGCAGCGAGATCTCATTCTCGAGAAGGTAAAGCAGAGCAAGATCTCGAGATCGACAGACATAACGCTCTAACGATGTAACTTTCGTTATATCTCTCTGAGAGAGATATAAAGAGAACTCAAGCGTGGAGAGAACGACAAAATCTGATTCTCGAGGTAGCAAATTGGCAAAATATCGGGATCGGCAAATCTCGCGGATTCGTACGCTGTAATAGTGTCTAAGCACCGTCAAATCTCTTCCTCGACAAAAAAAGAACTCAAGCGTACACAAAGCGTAGCGTAGCGAAATCTCAGCCTCGAAAGAGGAGAGTAGCGAAATGTCAAGACCGACCGAAATTTCTTCTCTCGGCTCTCTCTCCGAGCTGCGTGCTCGGTGTATCGCGGCAGCTCTGAGTTTCCCCGCGCGAATATCGCTCCGATCCATTTGCGCGGCGTAGAAGTCGAATCTGAGTCGCGCGTGTGTCGGTGTTACGCACCTCGAACACGCGCTTCTCCCAGTGCGTGAGAGCGGTGCCATCCTCGCCCTGGTCTTCCAGTTCCGCGCCCTCGAGTTCCGGGCAATTGAAGTGCGCCTGAACCTCGCTGCGGACCCGAGGCGTGACTATCATTTGCATGCTCCTCTCCACGTAGCCGCCGTGCACTTGCCAGCGAGGCCTGACCACGGTTTTGATCGTATTCTCGCTCCATTGATGCGTTTGTAATCTGTCCGAAACGAGTATCGGCCGTTATTAGCATATGCTGATTCGGAGTAGCCGAGCGGTGTCGCGCGGCGTCGCCCGATACGATAATCTTGCCGGCGCGATGCGCGGCGCGATCTAAACCCCAGTGGGGCTCGCTGGAATTTCAAACAAACCGCGACGCTTGCGCAAAAACGAACAGAGTAAATAATGGGACGCACCCTGGCCGAGAAATCTTCCTTCGTCGTCGTCATCGGAATTTTTGAACGGACCGCCGCGTCGCGCGGCCGACAAATAAAAGATTGCAAAATAGATTGGAAATCCGCGCGCCACCACGGACGACGATGTACGCGTCGAGAGATGTCCTGACACGATTATTTACTCGGCGAATCTCACTCACTCACTCACACACTCTCTCTCTCTCTCTCTCTCTCTCTCTCTCTCTCTCTCTCTCTCTCTCTCTCTCTTTTTCGTGTATTTTCGTTCGAGAGTCGCTCGTTCCAAAACACGGCATAATATATCTCTCTCGATATTTCACGCGTGCGAACATGCTCCGATTTCCATCAGCCGAATAATAATAGCAGTTTTCTGCAAAACATTTACTCAAACAGCCAATTTCTTCGTGACTTTGCAGCCCCGGCTCTCTGATACAGATATAATTGCATACTTCAATTTTTCCTCCTCTGTTGCTTGGTCTTCCCCCTCGCTCTCTCTCGCTCTCTCTCTCTCTCTCTCTCTCTCTCTCTCTCTCTCTCTCTCTCGTTTATTTTCAATCGAAAGCCGTTTGCTCCCCAATACAGCATAATATCTCTCTCTCTCTCTCTCTCTCTCTCTCTCTCTCTCTCTCTCGATGTTACCCGTGCGCGAACATGCTTCGATTTCTATCGGTCGAATAATAATAACAATTTTCTGCAGCATATTTACTGTGTGTCAAAGGTCTAATATCTTCGTGACTTTGCTGCGCCGGCAAATAAATATAATTGTACACTTCAATTCCTCTTTCTCCGTCGCACGATCTCCCCCCCACCCTCCCCCCTCTCTCTCTCTCTCTCTCTCACTCTCTCTCTCTCTCTGCTCATCACCCGTATAAAGTGATTGATGCGATACGTTGGCGAAACGCTGTTTTCGACAGCGACCGGCCCCTCCTCTATCCTATTTCGACATGACAGATGAATTCGCGAATGGCCATTTTGCCGGAAACAAGCGCGAGGTGAAAAATATTATTACGCTGGAGCGTCAGCGCGAAATCGCTCGTCAGCGTATCTCATATGCATAAATTGTTAGGCGCGTGCTCGCTCGCTGTGCTCGAGCGCAGAGATAATGTGATAGTGCGATAGAGCGCGTATGGAGGAATTGTACGCGATATTGTCTACGAGGAGAGGGGAAGGGTAAAAAAGAGAGAGAGAGAGAGCGAGCGAGTTTCGTTTTCGGATTACGAAACGAGATGAGTTGGATTACACGATAGAGAACATGGATAGAACTCTGTGTGCGGTGCGTCGTATATTCCTCTGTGATACTCGTCGAATCCAACATCACACCGAGCTTTTCATCGAGCACTTCACTGCACGCGTTATCCTCGTGTCGAGGAGCGTTTAATAAATATCGTTGTGTGTCAACGAAGATACAGAGAAGATACAATTGGGCGTTCCATTTTGGAATGTGGAGATATTTCGGGCCGAGTGATACGCTCGCGCATATCGCCGACACCGGGCCGTATGGACCAGGCTCGTCTGGAAATCATTTGTTGCTCGTGAAAACGTTTTCGAGCCTCGCCGAAGGGCTTTTGGAAACGAATCGCGCGAGCCAAAAGTGCCGATCGCGCGTCCATACATTACACGTGACGCGTCAATTTGCCCCTTTCTGGCTGCGCCACAATTCCGCAGTTCAGTTATCAAATTCGAACGCTCGAACAATGCCAATCATTTGCATTTATGTAAAGCAGGTAATTAGAGGGGCGGGTAGAAACAAATGGAAATGTAATTGGCGCTAAAAACGCGCGATACGGACTATCGACGGGGCGCAATTCCCCGATGATAAGGACAGCGTTGGAATATTCCCGAGGTGGGAAAGTCGAGCGGCTGCTGCTGCTGACGGTGTTAAATTTATTTAAAGTTTGAGGGAAGAGTACGTCTATCGTTTCGCAAACGATTACACCTAATACCGGCGTGTCGTGTTACAAAGTACGTGTCCTTACGAAATCTAAGATTACAAAGAGATCCTCTTCCTCCGCGTGCAAGCGCGCGCAGCGACGGATTAGCGTAAACCTTAAACGTAAGAGGATCCCCGTAGAGATATTCAGACGCGGTAGGGCGAGACCGCGCGAGCTCACGAGCAGATGGATGGCAGGAGATGCAAGGAAACGCTCGAATTTGTAACGGAGAACGCGCAGCCTTCCTGCGAAGCGGAGCGGAAACGGACGGAAAGGACGACTAGAACTAAAACGAGGAGCAACGAAAGACGACGGAGCGAAAGAAGGCCCGGTGAGGCGAGACGAGGTGAGCTGAAGAGAGATGTGAGGCGAAGCGAGGAGCGATGAGGTGAGGTAAAGAGACAGGAGGAAAAGAAGGCAGCAAGGAAATTAAAGGGACGAAGGGCTGTGACGGATCAAGAGGAGGGGGGAGGGTGAGAGAGAGAGAGAGAGGGCGAACAACTCGACGAATAGCCATCTCCGACGAAAATCTCTGCTCCTCAATTTGAGTTTCGGGACGTCGTCGGGAAAAAGAATCGTAGAGCTTGCCCGGCAAAAAGTTGTCGAAAGTTTAAGAAGTTCTGCATGCACTGCCGGCGTGGCTTCATAATTCTTCGACATCGCGCAACGCGATGAGCGATGTTCTATCGAAGAGAGAGGAAAGAGCGAGGAACGGTAAGAGAAGAGAGAGAGAGAGAGAGAGAGGAGAGAGAGAGAGAGAGAGAGAGGGGGGAGCAGAGAGAGAGAATAGAACGAGAGAGTTCTGGCTTCGCCGCGTCTCTCGAAACGCAAATCAACGCGGGAATTCATGAGACCGCTCGGAGAGACCGGACACACCTCGGGGAGGAACGCGTCGGGAACATACTGGAAAATTATACGCCAGAGCGAGCTTTGCAGGAAGGGAGACCCCGCGGAGAACGCCGGAGTCATTCCTGAAATCTATTACCGTCCGGAACGCCGTGGATCTGTTGCTGGAATTTCGCGATTCCAAGTGGAAAGGCGTCGATTTTCGTCGTCCGACGGAGAGGCTCGAGCGCGACAAGGAACCACCGAGAAAAGGAACAAGCCGGCGAGCAGGAAGACGAGGGTGGCGAGGACGTGATGGAGGAAGAGGCAGAAATAGGGAACGAGAGGGAAAGAGTAAGAAAGAGAGAGGGAGGGAGGGAGGGAGGGAGGGAGAGGAGAGAGAGAGAGAGAGAGAGTGAGTGAGAAGAATAACTAGAAGAGAGCAGAGCGAAGTAACGGATGGTGAAACAGAAGGAAAGGCGCAGCAAGGGTGAAGAGGGATGTCGCGGGGTGAAGAGCGAGGAGCTCGCATCTGCCAACGCCGGAAGCCAGTTCGTTACGGTCCGTCGACTCGGATAGAACGGGATACCAGGAATTTTCCAATTTTAAAGGCAGATACACCGCCATCGAATTGCCGTTAAGAGTAGGATAAGAAAGAACACGACAAGGAGGAGGAGAAGAAGAAGAAGGAGGAGGAGGAGGAGAAGGGAGACGACAGGGAAAAGTCAAGTCGCGTCGCATGTCGAGCGATGAATCGGCGGAGCAGTCGCTCGTCGCAGAGAGTAGCCTCTCGCACACAAAAGCGTCGAGCAACAATAATCTCGACGAGATCGCTGGTGAAGATTCATTCATCAAGCGGGACGAACTTTCGACAAGTTCGAGTCGCTTTCACGGCGGCGTGGAGCCGGCAGCCGCTGAAAGAAGCTCACGAGAGTAACTCGCTCTCTCGTGTGCTCGCGGAGTCTGTGCAGTTTCCGTTTGAGAGATCCCCGATGTTAACTTCACGCTCGAGCCTTAAGCCTCGCTCATTGACTGGAAAGCCGTAGGAGGGACCGATTCCGGACAATGCGACATTTGCCATTGGCCAACCATTGGAGCGCCGGATATTCCGCGAATACGTAAACCCTTATCGTTCTCGGCCGTCGTTTGGCGACTCGCCGGGAATTTTTCCTCGCCACCGAGAGAGACTAACAATTTCGCGCCCGGGCAATCGCCTGTCCCGAAGGCGTTTCCCGAAGCGTTAATAAGAGAATCTCAGCATGCAAAGACGCGCAGCAAGAGGCATGGTCGGGAGGAGACGTACTTTTCATTAAGGGGCGGTTTTCCGGTATCGCTCCTCCTCGGCGTCCTGGGCTCGCCGTTCTCGTCCCGGTAGAAGGCGTAGAGGCTCACGGAAAATCCTAAGGCGTGCAGGATCTCGTGTTTAACGGTGCTGAGCAACGTTTCCAGCTCCTGCGGTTTCGTGCTGATGCTCCCCGGGCACAGGTTGGCGTGGCCGGCTATCGGTCTGGAAGCAATTAAGTCCGCTTCAGCAACCACGGGGAGAGAAAGAGAGAGAGAGAGAGAGAGAGAGAGAGAGAGAGAGAGAGAGATATCTCCTGCCATCGCCATTTTAATTATATCGGCCCGAATTCGCATCAAATCTCCCGCCGTTATTTCCTCGGGACTGCGGAGGGATCAACCCGTCCTAGCGTTCCACCCCGCTGTCGCAGCTCACCCCGTGGTGACGGAGCAGGCACACACAGCGACAAGGCAAACAGCGCGCGCGCGCGTTGTACGAGCGCGCGCGTAGATTTGCATGGAGAAATCGGGCCGCGATTTCCATGAAAGTTTCACCCGAATCGATCGATATGTACATTAAATGCCACGTGACGTTGTGTGTTACGCAAAGTACGTTTTGCTTTTTTTCCCTTTCGCTCTGCGTTCGTTCTGCGAAGTCGAATATTCCATAGATTTTTCCATAAGCAAACGCGACGACGACGACGACGACGACGACGACGACGACGACGACGACGACGACGGCAACGGCGGCGGCGACGACGCGCTCGCGACGCACGAATACCGTCGATCTATCACGATCAGAACGTCGCGCGAATAATAAAATTCACGCCGAAGCCATTTACATCGAGCGGCACACGACGCGTGCGATGTATGCGCCTGACAGACAAATTTAATTGTCCTGACAAATTTAATCTACTCAATATGCGTTCGCGTTTCGGCAGAATCATAAAGTTAGACGTCAAGTCGTAAAGAGAGAGAGAGAGAGAGAGAGAGAGAGAGAGAGAGAGAGAGAGAGAGAGAGAGAGAGAGAGAGAGAGAGAGAGGGAGAACGCGTGAGTTCCGCTTCGGCGCAACTGTCGAGCGCGAATTTGGTCCTTGAAGATAGAAAAATAAATAAAACGAAACGAAACCTTCCCCGATCGCGAACGATATGTCCTCCGTGTATATCCGAGGCAATCAATAATTCTAATAATGTAATATATGCGCACGCGCGCACACACATATATTTACGCGCACACGTGTGACTAAATTACATAGCCGGAATTTCCCCGTCGCGTCGCCTTCGTATACGCCTGCTGTTTAACGACAAATTAAAACGTTTCGGGATAAAGGTAGATTTAAACAACGGCAGCTGTTTGCCGCGCGCAGAAAAAAAAAGGAACGACATATTTCATTTTAATTAGAATCATTATTTCAAAAGGGTGTCCACCATTGTAAAATCGCTCCGCCCGCTCCGCCCACAAACAATCCCTCTTACAAATCCTGTCAAATATTTAATCCGACATCCCGATGAAATATATTCACGCCAGATGGTGTTTGCTCTCGTTCCGCTCGCACAAACAACCGGAATTATGCACGCCTCAATTATAGCGCGCACTTTTACAATGTATTATTAACTGTGCTCGCGAATGTATCGCAGCAGCATTGCGACCAAAAAGAAAGCAGCGAATTCCTGTCGTGCAATTAGGTGACGATCGGGCGGAAAGGAAAACACATTCCCGATCGACTAGACGGGAATTCAATGTTTCCGGGATATCCGCTCGAATTTGCTCCTTAATTACGGCGACGTGTGAAAGTTCCAGCGATATAACGTGACCGATTTACCAAACGGCAATCGAATTGGCCGACTTACCGGTCCAAGGCAGCCTCTTGTTGGCAATGAGCAGCGTACGCTACAGTCAAGCCTTTGTGACACCTCTCGGTCTGCATGGCGGACACGTAGAAAACGAAATCGGCACCGTCGATGCCCGGTCCCGCCTTGCTGCCCTCCGCTACCCCGCAGTTGTGTCCCGTCGCGTTGCACGTCCTGCAAACCTACGCAGAGATACACGCACACGCTCGAGCAACCGTGCGACGCGGCGATCGCTCCTGCGAGGGGAACGCTCCTTGTCGCGAGACTCGCTGAGCTCCAAATTCAGTTTCCTGCTTTCCTGGACAACGGAGATAACGCGCGCGCCGTCGACACACTCGCTCGATCGGGTACCAGAAACGTGCCGACGCGGCGCAACGTTTCGCGCGAATGTGTGCTAGCTCGCGCTAGCTGAGTCGTCGCGGACTAATTATCGATGAAAGAGAGAGAGAGAGAGAGAGAGAGAGAGAGAGAGAAAGAAGCGTTCTCACGTCGCTTCCCGCGCCGGGCATTTCCTGCCGACGTAAAGTGACACGGACGACCGACACGCCTCGCTCGCGTCGTAACGAGCGTCGGACACGCGAATTATTGCAAAGAAGATCGTGTCTTGCAAGGCAAGAAGTACTTGGAAACGCCGACGAATCGCGGCGGAATCGCATTACCGTTCCGGACATCTCGGACGGGATAAATAATTTTGCACCGTCAGCGGATGCCTCCGTCGACGAGAGCTCGACGACGGGCGCGCTCCTCTTCCCCCCCCCCTCCGCTGGCACTCTCTTGTCCCGTCTTCTAATAAGTTATCCGACACCAATGCGCCTCTCAGGGTCGTTCATCAATTAGCGCCTCTCGTTTCCAGTCGGCCGTCGTCAAAGCGCGTCGTCTTCTCCTCCGCGCGATCCCCGGTAATCGATCAAGTTGAAGCGTCAATGAGAAGCTATCGCAGCCTCTCATTCCGACGGCCGCGCGGAAAACATAAAGATCGTGCCATCTGTCGCGTTCGCACGCCGTCCCTGTCCATTTATCTCTCCCTCTCGCACTCATTCTCTTCCCTGCGGAATTTTCGGCCGAATATTGAGAGTCGCACTTTCGGCCGAATTTGATCCCATGTGTTTTTATCGCGAGCAACGGCAGTTTGCGATTGATGGTTTACGTCAAACAGGAGCGTGTGCGGACGCATTGAATTGCGGGCTGATTTGCCAATTCGCGGCTACTACCTCCCCCCCTCCCTCCCCCGCGCGTCAATCGCGCTGGCGTTGTCGCGCAGTTTTGTCCCGGCGGTTATATAAACTTAGGGAAACGGAGATACCTCGGAGATAATATTACGAGCGGTTTCGACGCCATTATCGAACGGCAAAAGTATCCCGGGCCGATAATTGTGCAGCAGCGCTTGACGTCGTATTTACGCAGCAAACCGCGAATAATGACGATACTCAATTCTCTAATATACGAGAATTTACCTCGTTCGTATCGAGTGACGGACGACGAGCTGTAATTCGATCGAAAGCCCGATTCAACAAGACTAGCGAGTCGCGGCGGAAGCCGTGCTGCAGGCTCCGCCCGCACGCTCGAATTAAATGTAAAGCTCATCGATTTGTTAAAACCACAAACGTCTCGTTTTAGCGCACCGCGCTTAATACCATTAATGGAGCCACCGGCGTAGAACCGGCGCAACCGCTCTTTCAGCGGCTTTTCTCCCCTCTTTTTCTTCTTTTCTAGCGCGTTCTTTATATTTAATTTTTCTACGTTTCTATAATAAAAAGTTAATATGTACGCTTCCTGTCGGATCCGCCGCCGTGATAAATAATTGGCGGCCACGCGGCAATTACACCGAGCATAAATAGCGGCGCTGTGTTAACCTCCAATTTTATTTCGAGAGAGAGAGAGAGAGAGAGAGAGAGAGAGAGAGAGAGAGAGAGAGAGAGAGAGAGTTTGACATCGGAGCACGGCGAGAGAGCGTGAAAATTTCCGACTGCATATTATATCAGCTCAGTTAACTTCACGGTCGTGCAATAATTTGCGCAGCAGATAGAATATTTCACCAAATTTAGCAGTCGCACAGTTAACAGTTAACAGACGTGCGAGACGTGCGGGGAGATGTGCGCGGAAAGAGATAATAAAATATACGCGCGATATCCCAGAAGGGGGTGCGCGCATTCCATCGTTTTGTCGGCCGCATGCCACTCGCTCTCCGCGAGGTTTTCCCTGAACGAAGATTCAGAACTGTGGGCGTTATCTTGCCCCCCCCCCTCCTCTCCCGCCCCCGTCCCTTCTTTCGCCATAATTTCCCGATTTGTGGAGCAGCGAACGTCACATTTGAAAATCCAGCGGAACAAACACGGTCCCGCGCGATCAATTAGGAGAATAACACGATCCGTTATTTATCGCCTGCTCTGCGCATTCTCGACCGCGTGAAATACGGTCGTGAATTTTTGACCGATCGACGGCGGTAACGAGCGTAGCTCCGAATTGCCATTTCCACCGATCGTCTTCGCGATACCTCGCAATATAAGGCCAGCCAATTCGGTCCGCTCCTTTGACTGGCTTCGATATTTATTGCACAATTTAACCGTCCGTCCCCCCTCCCCCTCCCCCACCTTTTCTCGACCCGGAAAACTTATCGGGTAATTACTTACGTCAAGATGGTCCTCCGGGACGACTACCTCGCCGCACATAGTAATGGGACGGCAGGTGTCTATACAGTGCGTGTGGTGGTCCTTGACGAAGACCTGGCTGCTCTCGCATTTTCTGCAAGCACATTGAAGAAAGCACACTGAGAATTACTCACGCGAAAACGCATAAAGCTCGTCAGAGAATTAGATCGTGAAATATAGCTGTGCAGCGCGCTTTTCTCACGCAGAAGCACGCCACGAAAACCCCGGAAATTACTTACGGAAATAAAGCTCGTCGGAATTAAATTGTAAAATTATCGCGATGTTCAGAGCGCGCGCACGTGCGAGAGAGAGAGAGAGAGAGAGAGAGAGAGGGAGAAAGCACACGCCCGTCGAGGAATCGTTCGAGTTCGCAACGTAAATTAACGTACTTCGACTTCCTGCGGGACATTTATTCCGCGCATCTGTGAATGCGGCGTCTTCGATATAAATCCCCATAGCAATTGCGCTCAACTTCAAACGGTTCGGCGAAAGGTTTCGTATTGTGTTCTCTCGCGGATCTGCCTTCATCTCGCCCTAAAGGAAGGGAAATAGCTATCAGGAGTTACAAGTGAGAGATGCGGAATTTTATTTTCCCCTTTTATCGGACACGCTCTTCCTCTCTCTCTCTCTCTCTCTCTCTCTCTCTCTCTCTCTCTCTCTCTCTCTCTCTCTCTTTCTTCCTTTGCGAAAACTTTCGCGGAATTACCAGCCGTCACTTAGCGAAAGAGTGCCCAAAGAAGTCCGTTGAAATTACAGATATTAACGAAAGAAAACCGGGGAGAACGTGGCGGAGCTCTTTACTCGCCGGATGCGAACGAACACGAGGGGAGCGGGGGGCAGGAGGATATTCGCAAAGTTTCGATCTCGGTGCGGAACGAAGAGCGATTTGGAGAAATAATCAGCAACGATGTGACGCGACAGCTGGATGTTGCGCGGATTAAACATTCTATCAAAATCTACGCCATGAAAGCCATATTGTGTCGAGGCCAAAAGCCGCCATGCAAGCATATTGTATATATCAGCAGCGTACACAAACGACACATCATCCCTTGACGTGCTTGACGTCGCGCTAAAGCTGACCGCAAATTTCGCACGTCTCCTTTTTACGCGAGAGACCTCCTCGTGAAAGTGCCGCGGCGCGTCCTTTTTGCGTGCATTTTTGAGCGGCGTTATCCGCGCGCGCGAGCCGAGCCTCAACTGCGACGTTGATCCGCAGAGGCGTCCCGGTGGAACTAAAATGGCCATTGCCGAACAACGATCTTCCATCGAGTGATGGAGCAATATCGCGCCTCGAACCTCGGTATATACTTTTATAAAGTAAAAGCGGATACGACTATATCGGACACGATGGCACTAGCGGCAAGCGAGGGTAAAGAGGGTCCCAGGGAGAGGCGGGCGCTAAGGAGAAGGTGCACTTCGCTAAATAAACGTCGCGACACGAGCGTGTTTGACGTATCTGGGAGGACGCCTTCGCCTCGATGTCGCAGCGAGTCCGAAAAGAAGGACGACATATTCGAGCGCTATCCGGCGGTGAATCTTCGCGAGGATAAAGATTAGTTTGCCGAGCCGATTAAGCGGGGAACGAACCGGCTCTTGTGTGTTTGAGTGCGATTTATGCGTGCAGAAAGGATCTTGTGTATCCGCTTCGGCTGTTCGGTTCATAGACTTGCACACACACACACACACATACATATATATATATATATATATATACACATAGACTGAGCGCTCCACGAGAGAGAGACTACGAAAGCTACACCTGAAAAGGATGGCCTGTGCCACAGGCGTTCGATCTTTGTTTAGCTGATCGTCCTTATTGCAGAGAGCTAGACGAAGATAGTATGCCTGTGGAGGATGGAAGGGAAAATCAGCTCTTGTCCTTTGCATCCTGTCTCTCATACGAAGTTTCGTTGCGCCTTCAACTTTGCTGATTCGCTAATTACATTCCTTCGGGGCATATTTCGCGTGAACATCAAAATCACGAAAATATCATCCATATTAAATGTATATCGTAAGTGATACAGTATGTGTATTTATATATATATATATATGTGTGTGTGTGTGTGTGTGTGTGTATGTATATATATGTATACTTGAAGCGATAACGGGAGAATTAATTAGATCAGGTATCACGGACAGACTGATTAATTTTCAGCGAACAATATGCGGATAATGTCAATGTCCAATATTATGGGACATTGATAATTGTAAATTGGATGAAGAGTCGAGGGAATTAATTAATAACGTATCAACAGTGAGAGGAAGAACAATGCGTTGTTATACCGCTGGTATAATGCAAACTGTGTGTAATTCGTCGCAGCTATACAACCATGTTCTTGCTAAATGACGTGGGGGGGGGGGGCGAGAGGGGGAGAAACCAACCAAAAAAACCAGTCGGTCGGCCGCTGCGTCACGCGTGAATTCGAAAAACTCTAATCGACCGCTAATCCGGGCTCTACGGTTCGCGAGGGGTGTATGCCAAGTGTTTAAGTCGCTAATCGGATCACGTTCCGGTCGAGTTGATTTGCATAAGCTAAAGCAGTTTTCCGGTTCCGCCGATGGGTCCGGGTCCAAATCGTCGGAAGCGAACATCTGCCGGTTCGGGAGAACGGGAGAGAGAGAGAGAGAGAGAGAGAGAGAGAGAGAGAGAGAGTGTGAGAGAGAGAGAGAGAGAGAGAGAGGGAGAGAGAGAGAGGGAAAGAAATTCTCGTTCCGAGGGGAGCGTTCGAGCCGCAGCGAAAATATTTTCCATCACGCCCCGAAATCTGCTAAGATCAAGACGTATGAGTCTTTTCGCAATTCTCGGAATTTACGATTTCGATCTCGCGTAACGACGAGCCGGAGGAGATCGTGGGCTTCGAGATCGACCAGGGTCGCATGGTCCGCAGGAGGAAGGAAGCGCTGTTCGTAAATAGTACAGCAGTTTCCAGGCAATTTACTGTTCCGTTAAGAGTATCCTCCGGCTGCTCCTCCTTGGCTTCCCGAGCGCTCGGGATCTGCCCGGGGAGAAAGGAGGTGCGACTTAAACCGTTTCTACGTTGCCGCCGACGCGAGATACATTCGTGTCAAGATAGAATCTCGCAATTCCGAGGAAAGTCCTCGCGAAAGTCGGCTTCGATATCGATAGATAGACGCATTTTCAAGGGAATTATGCGTATTTCCCTGTCTGAGGCTGAGGCTGAGACGATTTCGAGTGTCCGTTTGCGAATATACTGTGCTGTGTGTGCGCGGCGCGGGATATTTTACACAAACCTATTCTTTATCCCTTAGTCCTTCTAAGGAAAAGAATCAGAGTTACCTTTCCCTTCAGATAATATCGGAACGTCGATACTCGAACGTCGGACTGTAAGCGGTGTGAGGCAAAAGCGCTTGACGTTGATTAGATTCCCCGCGGTAAAAATATACAATGGGATCTTATCTGTACATAGATACTGTCAAAAATGTTGCTGTGAATATCGACGAGTGTTGCTCATCGCTTTTATTCTGCAAAAAGATATCGAGCAGCGATAAAAGAGAAATGAATGAAATCAATCGTCGAGAAGTGGCGCACGATCTTCGAATAGAAATGAACTTTGAATGCTCTCCGTCGGGGGCTAGTCGGAACTACGAGACGATTTATTTCGGAATAATCGTCCTCATATTTGCGCGACGTGCAAATTTAATCCAACGTGGAAGCGCGGGCTTACAGAGTTTGCGCTTAATCCCTTTGGGATGACGATTGATCCCACCAAAATGACGTTCGATCCCATCTAAATGCACACATATGTGCAAACGACGAGTGCGCGAGAGAATCTTCTATCTCTCTGCTACGGTAATCAGCGATGCGATATATTGGTAAACATAAGTACACGCGTTATAAATCATCCAATGATCGTATCATCGTTAAGCCTCAATACACGTGCGTCCCTTAAATACACATAGGTGAATGCTAAAAATTCGCGGTCGAAAAGCTCGGAGAAATAATGTTTCGCACGAAAGATAAATACATACAACGGTTTAATTTTTTGGGTGCTCCACTACTGCGCCATATTTGCATTACCCCTTCTCGAGATACATGTTAGGTAAAAAATAACACCATTGTGGCGCGATAACGCACTGGACATCTTTTCCAAAGTGAGAATTCCCTTGCACCTCGTCAATGCAGGGAAAACTGCCGGAACTTAATTTATGAATTAATCCATGGATTAAAAGCGAGAGCGCGAGAGAGAGAGAGAGAGAGAGAGAGAGAGAGAGAGGTCATCAAAATGCAGACAAACATGGCCATACGCGAACGTTAGTTAGAACCGCACGTTAATGCAGCAAACTGGCAGGCCGGACAAGCTGTCTCTCTTCGACACATTGATATTTCCAAATTTCAGACATACTTTCCGGCATGACTGCACAAGGACGAGGATGCTGATGGTGACTTCCAAAGAACTTTATCGTTCGGGTAACTTAAAGGAGTCCCGAGCGCTTTGAAAGCACCACTCCGTCGCACTTACCCGGGACACGTAATGCCGGGAGTACGGATTTGTTGCAGTGACACGCTTTCTGCATTACCAAGAGCTCGTTCACTGACGGCACCGACCCAGCATCCTTCGGTTCCTCCGAAGTCGTCTAACAGCTGGCGGAAACCGCACGATTCACAGTTATCATGCGGTCAGGGTGGTGAAGAAAAAACCAATTAGTAATTAACGCGTGTCCGATCGGATGCGACGACGAGTGCTTCCACGCGATAAAATGAAGCATGTATTCTGTGTGTGTGTGTGTGTGCGTGCGCGTGCGCACACACATTATGATGCGCGTTCAATTTTGTTATCTGTTTTAATTATCTACCGACGTTTGAGAAGAAGCGGAACTCCTTCTTTATCCTTGGAGGAATCTTCGGCGACTACAAAAGCACTTTCCAAACGGCCGAAGATATGTATCTCCGCGCGCGTCTCGAAGCTAATATAAAAGTTAAAAAATTCGATGAAGTAATATTTTTAGCAAACAATAACGAGCCTCCGCTCTCTCTCTCTCTCTCTCTCTCTCTCTCTCTCTCTCCCCCTCTCTCTCTCTCTCTCTCTCTCGCCGTCGCCATTGTAATACGCGACCATGGAATTTCGCGATATA